GAGTAGATAATTTTAAATTTAATAATTAATATAACTGCCATATTATTTATTTTAATTGCCAACTATTCATTTTCACTACTTATTTTATGAAAATTTACTTTGGATTTATTTTAACAGACAATAATCTATTTTTATTTAAGCATAGACAAATTGTACCTGCGAATCTATTTTTATTTATGCCATATGTATGTAGCACAGTTAAAACAAAATTTTTTTCATTGATAAAGTAGGAAATTGAGAAAAAATATAAAGATCCAATTTACTACAGATTTATTCTAAATCTATTAAATAAATGATTCTTTCTACATATTGAACAAATGTAACATGGTAAATCTTTCCAATATGAAATGTTATAAAATTCTCAAATTTGAAGTAAGGCTATCTATGGTATCTTTTGGTCCTGGTCCAATTCCAAGAGTGGAAATTGTACCAGGCATTAATTGGGTTTTACCAGCATCTTTTATTATAGCGGTAACAAGACCAACATTGCGAGCTTTCTGTGCTAATGCCATTAATTCTTCCTCATTACGTATTCTAACAACAATTTTAGGTTGACCTTGTAATAACCAAGATTCGTACAGTTGACATTTCCCACTGTCCACAGCTTGTCGATAACATTCTACAGCAGCATGTGCGCATTGAGCTGCAGTTTTCCCTTTTCCCATTGTAATGTCTGTCCTCACAACAAGTACCATTTTACAAAGCACAGTATTTGGATACATTACAGTATAATTAAATATACGTTTTACGCGTTTTATAAAAGCTAACATTGTTATAAAGTTAAGGATACTACTTTTCTCGCATTTTTTGGTAAGACTCCATGCACATTCTGAATTCTTTCAATACACCTTGACACTTTCTCCAATCTTGAGTTTCTGCTATACACTCCTGAAAATATGTTTAAAAATTACAGTATTCTTCACATCACGAAATGTTAACCTGTAAACGTATTCAGTAAATTAGTACTTGAACTTGATAATGCAATTCCATGCAGCCGGTTTTTTTTAACATTTCCTCTACGGGATCGATATCATCTTGCGGCTGTGAATCCGAGCGCGGGTGAATAGTCATTTCAAATTTAAATAGAGCTCACACAATATCAATTAAAATTAAGTATATATCTAATAAGGGTACGTATTTGTTGAACACTTGTAGGCATCAGAGGTTAGTTCTCGTTTTTGCAGTGTACATACTTATCGCACGCGCAATGATCTATGTGTACATATGTAAAACAAAACACAACATGCTCGATATCCGAATTCAGTTTCAAGGCATGAATGCAATTAGTTAATTCTTCTAAAGATAATTATAACCTTTTGAAAAACAATAATAAAAAAAAGATATGTAATACCTACTGCCTTTCTCTCGCGCAGAGAAAAGATTTCAAATAAGAGGTAATGAGGTGGTTGACTTTGGCGCGAAATACAATTACCACAACTGATTTTATCTATTTTATAGCATATAAGCATTCTAATATTCTTGTACTATGATTTATAGATATAGAATTCGAGCTGTTACACTTATAAGAAAATGTAAAATTCCAAAAATGGAGTGCAGGACTATATTGTAATGTAATTTACAAGAAGTTCTGCCGAATCAAAATTTATTTTCAATTTTGGAACAATTTCGAAGTGACAGAAAAATTATAAAAATCTGATTGTCTATGGTGGTTCTCTGTTTTTCGTGATTCAAGGATTTATATCCGCAATAAATCCATAAAATCCGCAGTGCTGCATTCAGCGATGGCGTAAGGCGCTAGTTTCGGCATATGGCGGCTGGTGCTCCGAGTTCTCCAGCAGACGACAATAAGTCATGGCGTAGTGAGTTCGGACGCATGAATCGTACAGTGCCTTGATGTGTGTGCGTCACTACCATGACTTATGACTTTTTCTTGTGGAACCATTCGAAAGAGTGAATATTTGAAAAATATACCTGATGTCTGCCTACTTAACTACTTATTCCGTTCAGCTTTACGTCGGGGTCGGGGCGTTAAGCCTGCCGGTCGTCAGTTACAACGTTTTAGTAAGTACTTACCGTGTTTTTACCGTTCTGATGACTTAAAAGACTTTGTTCCCCGTAATACCATGCAATTTAGCCAGAAAATAATGCACTACGAACGTTCCTTGATGATAATTCGCGCCTCCCTTTCATCATTGCAAATCGAAAGATGACACACCATCCCAGAATTCCATAGCACGTGGGCAATACACGCTGTATTTGAATCTGACAAAAGACGATCCTGGTTCTATCGTTACGGTTATATTTTATCTACTACTTGATTGGCATTAATTATACAAAACCTAATTTTTGAACGAGTTCTGGTTACTGAACGCCGCTTAAAATTCAATTCAAGCGAGTGATCATTACCAAAATAAAGTAGGCCACACGACTGCGGTAATTTTTTTTACATAACAGTACTGTCGCAGTTTTTCCTTCTATCGTGACACACGTCCTTGCGCCAGTGACAACAATTTCTGTCGGTCTCGCGAAAAGTCAATTACCATCGAGGCATTAGTGTCATTTATGTTAATGGGTCAGTGGGCATATCTATATCGAGCGTGATAACCGATCCGATGGACAGGGTCATGGGTGCCCTAATTCGAGATAGTTATTTCAATCAGCCGTGCCTTGCAATTAATGGATATTCCTGTGTTATTACAGTCGTAACATGATAATTAGATAAGCCAAAAACACGGACATAATTAAGAATATGTTGTACGCAGAAATTTTCAATTAAAGAAATAAAATAAAGGAATGTCTAAGTTAAAAAAATATAATGCACTGTGTACATTATCAACAATTTATTTACTTGTTTAGTAAAAGTATTCCTGCATTGAAATTATTGAACGATTCAAAAAACATAGAAAATAGAATGAAATTTCGTATTTCCGCGCTAAGTAGTGCACAGCCAGACTCGTGGCAGGAAATTGAACTAACTTAGTTCGCGTATTGCCGCTAGGTGGCTACACGGCTCACCTCGTGTTTCTCGCAAGTGTTCGAGGGTACCTCGATTAGTATATAAGCCCGACGTGAATACTGTACTATCGGATAGTCTGATGCTTCCCGGGTAAAAACCACGGACTATTTACAGATTACCATTAAATGTCCGTTACTCAAGACGTACACCTTTAAACAATGTCATCAAAAAATCAATTGTGTTTACTTTGTAAAACTTCACTGTGGAAGTACCCCGTGGACTATCTCTTTTGCAATTTTTTTTTACGTATGTCCATAGTATACGCACTTTTTGATTTTATTTATCACAAATATTTATTTCATCTTTTAGCAATGATTTAATAATCTTTTAAAGCTCGAAGAGCAACTGCACGGTTTATAGTACGTTTTTCAATGACAACAGCAATTTTTCGTAAACCAATAAGAGTTTAAAAGCAAGTTGACGTAGTCAAGTTTGAACTGTTCGAATTGTTAGTAAAAATTTCGGTCTTAAAATTGAAATATTAGTACACTCGCAATTGGACCGCGACAATTTCTCGAATACTATCAACATGTAATACTAACAATAATTAGAATTTCCACGATGATTTATTAGCACAGCTTGGATGTACTCAACTGATTTGCGCTGACAGCATTACGTCAATCGTCGTCGCAACGATATTTCAACGCGTCTTTCAATCTCGCTTTATCACGATAATTCAATTACCATTCATCTGAACGTCAATTACGTGTCTGCCATTAATTATGTCGTAAGTTCGAAACTTTTAACGAGTCGTCCGAGCTCGAAGATACGGCTAACGTAATTCAATTAGAACTATACTTACTTCTACAGAATATTCGCCTTAACATTGACAGCACGTTTTCACATTCCCTTATCGTTCAAATGTTATGCAATTTTATACAAGACGATCCAATAAAATGATAACAGACAACTGGTATCAGTGCAAGTACAAAGTATACTGTATTAATGGTGGGATAACTTGGCATTGTGATTTAAAGTCAAACAACGAACCAATCGATAGCGTTGCAAATCGGTGCCAACCTAGCTCTATTGCTTATTACCATGAATATTTTGCTGTTCGAGGAAACGCGATTGAATCGAGGTTTTTCCTATATCTTGCATGATAGCTGGCCTGATTTACCTGTTGAAATCGATGCCTGGTTTTGAAGTCGTTGGTATTGCCTGGCTTTAAATCAGACTGAGTATTTCCTCTTATCAACGTTAAATACAGTAAATTCTCTTCAATTGTCCCTTAACATGTCTTTATAAATGTCGACAATCGGTGACCATAAAAACGAGCCGCGAGGCTCGAATAATCGCGTCTCCTCTTCCCAAATTCTCCATTTTTGTTTAAAAGCTGAGGGACAGCTAGAGAGAAATTATTGTACCGGGTCACGTTTTAAAACTACCTTTGGCTGACCCTTCAAAACAATATTACATATAATACTTACGCCTAACCATTTCATAATAAGGACAATAATGTTCACTGTGCAGAGATTTTACACGAATAATCCCCGTTCACTCTTACACAACATGAGAATGTTCGACATTGATTTAGGGAATGGATACAATTATTACATTTTTAACATACGCCCAAGTAATTCTTACAACAACCGTATCCATAGAAGAATATTTTCTCCGAGGGACGGTCATTTTTCTTAACTCTTTGTGACTAGGATGATGACGCTGAGGCACTACTAAAAATTATCACCGTAATTCGAAACAATTTTAATAATTTAAAAATTATTAAATTAATTATTATTAATATATATGTATATTATTATATATATATAATATAATAATAATAATATAATATAATATTAATATAAAATAATAATACATTATTCATTTTTAATAATTTTAATACTTGTAAAATCGTCGAAGTGCAACATGACTTTGTTCCTCGAATGAAAACAGGTTCGAGTGCAAGGGGTTAAACTAGCTCCACCGAGCAGGGTCGTGAAATAAATCGCTTGCGGTAGGGGGTTCGATGTTGTGCTTGCTTCAATACGATCTCTACGAGTGTTCTTGCATCTCGGACGGACAGTCGTCGACTGAACATTGTCCGGCGTGCGATGAGGTGTCGCGATGGTGATATAATCGGACAGGGCATTAGGTGGTAACACGGGATCGAACTCGCAGAACGGTTTAATTTTAGAGCGTGGTCGCTGGCCATGACTATGAGAGACGATACAGACTCTCCTCGACTAAACGGCGACGAGACGAGACGAGACCGCGCGAATCAGCACACGTAAGAGATACGCGCGACGGTAAGACGAAGAGGGAGGGAGTCGAAAGCATCGAGTCTCGCTCATTCCCTCGGCCGAATGTGTCCGATGCACCTTGTGCCGGTGTGTGCTAATAAACGAGTCCCGCATCGGCTCCGTACCGCTTCAGAATTGACCGAGAACCAATTCTTGTTGTTTGCCCCTAGCGAGGTCTAAGGTTTCTGGAGCAATCGCAGCCGCGAGGTGGGACCGGCCGAGTGGTAATCCTCTAGTTCTCCCGCACAAGCACTGCGAGCAGGGCGCAGCTTTTCGCTAATCCGGGGCGGTTCGATCCTTGATCATGGAGAAAGAGAAACTTAAGGATCCAGAGGAGGAGGAGGAGGAGGAGGAGGACGACGACGAGGAGGAGGAAGAGGAGGAAGAGGAGGAGGAGGAGGACGACGACGACGAAGTTGGCACGATCAACAAAGCTGCCACCTTTCCAGAGATGGAACGCACTCAAACTGGACGGAAAACGAGCATCTTCAAGTACTACTCCTTTGAGGAGAAGGGAAAGGGTGAGTGCCCCCAATTTCACTCGTTATGGTCACCGTCGCATGCGCCTTAGACAACGCGAACGCGACATTTGTTCAATTCAATTTTACCGGGCTTTTAATAGCGTCCTCGAGTTGGATTCTTCTAAAAATTCTTCGTCGTTAACCAAAGAAATGGATAACTTTAAATCGAATCACGAACACTTTTGTGTGAAGATAAATTTGATCACAATTTTAATTTGAATTGAATACACTTCGCGCTTCGATGTGAATATAAATTTGATTTAATACAATTGTATTGGCCTTTTCGAATGGAATGGTTAAAAGTATGGATAACTTGAGTAGGATGATTCTGACGTTCCAGTTTTTCCATCAAGGTTTATCGGTGTCGTTAAGCTTCTGATACGCGATAAGAGAAACTTCAGTCGTTTAACATCGATTCAAGTCCAAAGTTAAATTTTTCCGTACAATCTGCCGGAAGCCGCGGATTCGCGCGATATCGGTAGGTATCGACGGGTTTGATTTCGATTTGAGGTGCAAGAGAGAACCGATCGGGAGGTGTGTGTTCTCGTGACATCACGGTGAATTTGTGATCCGGCCAAAAATAAAAGCGATGACCGGCGACACACCACAAACGACATCCGCACTCTGCATGGATCGACTTGTATCGAGAGGGGGGTATAGTAAACGAAAAAAGTTCTTTGACTCGTTAATCCAGTATTTTCTGCTGCAAGTAGTCCATCTGCTTCGGCAACGCGTTAAACATTATTTTTGCTCTATGCTGCTCGTTTAACAAAATTGATTCTTAGTAATTCAGTTTCGCCAGCAAATTTTTATTTTTTCGGATGCGGATGTCTTTTCAATCGCATCTTCCACGAGAGCATGTGGACGTCGTTGCACGGATACTTTTTGCTCTTACTGTACCTACCGTCGTCGGGTAAACACCGATACATTTGTACAGATATCCGGTGAAAAGGTGATACGTGGTTAAGCCTTCGAGGAGGAAAACAGAGCCAAACGGGGCAATAAAGAAACGAAGGAAAAAGCTAATGATGCTTCGCATGTTTTAAACTTGGACTTGGAACGTTCCTGCGAACATGCGTGGCAATTGTTTATACGCCGAGGGCCGAATTTGTATTTAAAGTAAATCGATATTCAAAATAAATCGGACAGCCAGCGCGTGGCTAGCGCTCGTCGTTGCCCCGAAATTAACACCTCGCGACAAGACAGGCCGAACATGTTAGGTAATCAGGGGCAAGGTATTTCTGAAGATACGTATCTGGCGAGACTTGGATTAAAAACGTATCGTGTATGGCCATTGAAAATGAACGAGCCGCGAGCAAGAGAAATAATTCTCGGTAACGTGTAGCGAATGAAATCTTGGCAGAACGAATTTTGATAGTCGTCGTTCCTCGAGTTTAAAAGTCGTCAGTTTTAAATATAGAAATATTTTGACAGTGCACGAATTGCGCGTACAAAGCTTTTTTCATTTTCTAGTGTAGTCCATTAAAACATTTGCAAAGTGTGGCGAATAATTAAAGAGATCTCGCGTTCCGTCGCGATATAAGAGAAATGGTAAACAGAGGTGAATGATGCGCTCGCAGATGCGCGCTGCAGCTGCAACGTATCAAAATTCAACGAAAGATAGAAATGCTACAGAAATGACAGATTAAATGTGGTAAATGGCAAATGATTTCGTAATCGGCGGTGACGAAGGGCCACGAGCTGGCATTATGCATCATCGCCAGATGGTGCATAATGCATCGCGTGAAGCATCACGAGATCGGGTTGTCTCGAGTGTGTTCCGTTGTTGAGCAATACGAGAAACTCATTGCAGCTGCATACAGCACGCGGACGCGCGTGTCGATTCATTGTGTGGGTGCAACGGAACTGAACCGGTTTCGTTCAATGGGATCGCGTGGATCGCAAATCTTTTTTCAAACCGACTAAAAATAACGCCGTGCCGGTATCCCCGTACGCGCGTGGAATTTGAAACACGGAAACGATCCTGATGACGACTTCATTAACGACTTCGAGGCCGACGCGACACCTCGCGCTTTTTTCCACCCTTTTCGCCAAGATCTCTTGGGGCGTGCTTTCTTGGAGGATCAACGCGATTACGTATAATCAGAGAGAGAGAGAGAGAGAGAGAGAGAGAGAGAGAGAGAGAGAGAATGAGAGAGAGAGGAGAGAGGGGGAGGAGAGAGGGAGAATGAGAGAGAGAGAGAGGAGGGAGAGCGAGGAGAGAGGGAGAATGAGAGAGAGAGAGGAGAGAGAAGAGAGAGGGAATGAGAGAGAGAGAGAGAGGAGAGAGAGAGAATGAGAGAGAGGGAGAATGAGAGAGAATAAGAGAGAAAGAGAGAATGAGAGAGAGAGAGAGAGAGAGAGGCGTAGAATGCATTCTTGTTTCATGTATTTAGCTGTATCGAAAGCAAATATAAATGTTTGCATTGAAACGAAAGTGCAATTTAAGCGCGATTATCGCTGGAAGATTTAAATCTAGGAAAAATAACAGTTCTCGCAGTTTGCAACTTGTTGATCGATATTTAGATTCGCCCACGTGCGCCTCGCACGCAGCCAATCACAGTTCACGCAATCGATCGTTCATCCCCACGTTCGTTAGCCGGCGTATTCGCACGTGGGAAAGTAATTTCATCGACGTACCTTTCGCTTATCACGGATGTGCGGAAACCCTTCAGCGTCACGACCACAGGAATCGCACCAACACAAACCAATTAATCCGATTACGGAATAAACACGATTTAATACAAGCGAAAAAAAACTGGAGGAAAATGAGAATACATTTTAATGCTGTAGGAAAAGGAAAACCGGAGAGGATAGTTTTCGTCGACTTTCCTCGACGAATGCCCGCTCGTTTATGGCCTTTCGATGGTGGGTTGCAACGTCTGGTTGACATCCTTGTCTACGCGACTCACAACGAACAATAGGACGTTCCTCCTTCGAAGGAACGTTTTCTTGTAGTGGTAACAAGGTCGGCAGAAAGAACGTGAATGAACTGCGTTTGGGTCTACGAGTGGGAGAATGATATTTCTGAGGATCTGTTCCGAAAGAACGATTGGATCGAAGATTCCTGAGGTGTCCACGAGAAACAAACTAGAGGGACCAAATAATAAATTACAGTTCCTCGAACTGACTTCGACTTATTCTTGTGCTTCTATTTGTAAGAGATGTAGTTTAACCGTGACTGTGTGTGCCGCTTCAATTATTAATCGAGTAATTGATTGACTAACAATGAGAAACCCCTGTCAAATTACGCAAAAGATATATTTGTTTTTTTGTTTTTTATTTAACAATAAATAATCGCGTTAAAGAACATCAAGGATTTGTTTATTTAAGAGTTCTGAAGAATGTCATTAATAGTAAGCTCACGTATTTAGTTGAGGATGCATTTGCTGCTTGAAAATGTGGGTCACGATTCACGATGTCGGTGCACTGACTTCGTAAAATGTACAGCTGATCGATGGCCAGGTCGATGACCATATACCGTGCAAGGGATACGATCGGAGGGACCTCAGATTATGAACCGTACAACGGAGTTCACTTTCACAGCACTATCACCGAACACTGACTACTTAATTAATCAGTGACAATTCCAAGTTCTGAACATATATATATTTTCCATATATATTTTCCACTTCTACTGTTTCGATGATTGCGACTTCAGACTACAAAGACAGCGTGGAACGCGGCCGACCGGCTCTGCTATCATTGTTTCTGCGCGTAGTACAGTAATGTCTCCCAAACTGACGCTCAGATTGTGCACAACAATGGACGATTTGGGAAGAGGAGATACGATTATTCGAGCCTTGCGGCTCGTTTTTATAATTGTTAACAATTCGTAACTGTAAAAACAAACCGCAAGGCTCGAATAATCATATCTCCTCTTCCCAAATTGTCCATTTTTGTGGACGATCTGAGCGTCAATTAGAGAGACATTACTGTACGTACGCGGTTCTCTATGATTCCGTAGAGTGGCAGGGATAATAGTTAAGGCGACTGAATTCAACACTAATAAAATCTATATATGAGCCGTTTATTTTGAAAGTGGCATAAGTCACTTTGTTTTGAAGTCGATATATTCAAGGGTTCGCGTTTTAACACGTTTAAAAATATGGATGCTAACTTTCGAGAAGATTTACTTGTATTTGTTATCTCAGGATACTGGTATTTTTCTCAGTATAAATAATTTCGTATAAGCATTAAAAAATCACCACTTTTCATTACGGTAAAGTGACTTATGCCACTTTCAAAATAAACGGCTCATATGTATATTTCAAACGTCAAATAAAGAGAAACCGTAACAGGTAACGATGCTGCTTACAACTGAATATTCTGAGTCTTAGAGCGAGGTGTAAATGAAGAATTATGCTCTTCGACTGACTGGATTGGAGGTAACTTCAGAGTGGGCGTGGACTGAAAATGAAACAAGCGGATTCGTGGGTTGCACAGTTTTCGGTTAGAGTAAGGAAACTGTTGTCCTGATTGATTGGTTTAAATATTGTATAGAAAAGGGAAAATAAACGCCCCCAAACTAACTGTATATATGGCTCGCACCTTCGGGTGACGCTAGCGAAAAATCTGCGAGTCTCGAGGATTGACCGTAGCAGGTAATAAACTTGACTTGACAAAGCACGAGGACTAGACGATGGCTAAACTTCTAACGACGAGCTGTGAGTCGTAGTGAAATAAAATGTTAAGTGCATGAAACTGCATATGTACTAGGGATGAGTTAGTATTGCTTGACGAACAGATGGAAGGTACTTCAACTGTTTCGTGTTTGTCGGATGTACAATTATGGTTGGGAATTTCTTGAGTTGTTTCGGCTTTCGACGCGGAACAATCATTGCGGACCACAATTCCTCGCGAATACAAATTTTGTGACATTTTCCACACTTAGTATTTCGACGGTGTTCGCGCTTTTAAACATTCCTCCCGCAACCTATGCACTGTTTCACCAGCATTTCCAGCATACTCCACGAACACCCAAAAAATGTGGTATCCTG